TTTTTTTTTTTTTTTTTTTTTTTTTTTTTTTTTTTTTTTTTTTTTTTTACATAATTATTGAATTGTACATACCGTGTGCCAATAATGCTTTTTTTGCCTCACGCTCTGTGTCGAAGAAATTGCGCAATAAATTGTTCTGTTCCAGGATACGCGTCAGTAAACGTAGACTCGATACGAATAATCAACTGGACGATTCACATGGCCGGTGTGGTCATATTGGCGACTTACTCGGCCTTTTTCATCAGCAACTTGACGGTCAAGGTGCCCTTCACGCCCTTCCGTAACTTGAAAGGCATGCTCGACGATGGCTCGTTCAAGCTGACCGTGCTGAAAAATAGCGCCACCTACAAGTTCTTTCAGGTGTCCATCCCGTCCATCATTGTTTCGATGAATTGAGTTATACTTAAGGGGGTTCGGTGATTTTATCGAAATGACCATTGCTTTTTCAACATTTTTCAGCCACGAATGTTTTTCATTGGTGAAATTTCAGTCCTTAACGCAAGATCTTAAGGATGGCAATGCGTTTACAGTAATTGTTTTTGATTAACAATAAAAAAAAGATGGGGGGGGGGGATAAAAATATATTTTACCGTTTTTCTCTGGATTTTTGAAAAATCGTCGAACCTCCTTAACTTGAAAGACAACTAGAACTTAATTGTTTTGGATTGAGCTTTTGATTTGCCTTAATTATCATCGTCGGGTGTTGCGCTACAGAGTTCATCGGATGCGACAGTCAAGGGAATTTTCGATCGGATCCTGGTCGACAAGGATTCATTGCCGCAAAATGACCTGGACGGCCTCAACAACTTGTGCCAGAAGGACAAATACGCGTTCATAACCGTGGATTTGACTATGGAGTTGAATAGGCGGAAAATTGCCTGTGTCGTGCAACCTTTGGATCCGATGATGCAGTCAACCATGGCCTTGGCTGTGCAACGAGGAAGCCACTTTCGTCGCATGATCAATCATAAGTACATACACCTTATGTGATATTATGTGTATATGTGCGAGCGTATTTATAAAAATAAAGGGCGTTTTTGTTGATAGCATTGCGTTGATAAAAGACAGTGGTGTGTTGCAGAGGGCTCTCATCAACGAATCGTATTTGCAACCGGTTGAGGTCAGTTTATTAAAGTAGTTCTTTTTTTTTTTTTTTTTTTATTTATTTAATTTTAACACAACAAACGTGTAAATAGTACAACTAACGGTTCTTCACTTTTAGATAAACAACGTGTCCCCTTTTGGTATTTTCGACGTTCTGCCTCTTATGCTGATTATTCTTGGGGGTTGGACGACCGGCATTTTGCTACTCTACTTGGAGAGAGTGAACATTCTATAACGATCTTCAAAAATACCAACGGGAATCGGCAAAAACCATAGTTTTTTTTTTATTTTCAATCGTACAGATATAGCTGTGTTGCAATGGATTGTCATTTTTGTTTTTTGTTATCATTGTAAATAATTATTACAACCTATTGAATAAATTGGTTGGTACGAAATTTCTACTGTTATTAACCCTTATTTTAGAAATGCTTGTTATACACAAATATTTATTCAGATTTATTGGAAACATCAAAAGAATTGATAATATTTTTTGTTTCGAGCACGTATGTAATAAGACACCTTAAAATTCTTGAATTAAGGAGACTGTGCATTAAAATAAAATGGAAAAGTTAACCAGGTAAGCATCAGATAACTTTTTTTTTTCGTATTTATATGCATTGTAATTAAAATTTAATGTGGACAATATACCTTTTCCTTCCTTTTTTATGTACTAAGTAATATTTTTGTCGTACAAACAGATAGATACAGTGAACGATTTTATTTGTCCAAACAAATAAGGCAAATATAATCGGTCGATCGATTTCTCGTATCACTAGGTAAGTATTCATTCATAATACAAACAAGTCCTTATATATGTGTACTTACTCTCAAAAAACCCATTTACTCGTGCATGCCTGTATCCTGAAATATCGCGATTCGTCAAGGAGTCAAACAAAATCGACCAAACAACTCAAACACTACAAAATATGATGCACAAGTATTCGGTGCAACCATTGCACAACAACGCAATCGGCATTGTAGTACTTATTCATAAGTTACCCTCAGTTGTGTATGCAATCGAGCTCTGAAAACCTGCGGAGACAACCGATCGATCGATCTACCGGTTTGTGGTGTACGTGCGTTGTTACTGGTGTCCAGTGTCCACACTCTGCTGTTATCTCCCCTTAATTTTTTTTACACCCTCCGCCTGCGCGTTACACCTGTGCACGTGAACATATACATATATATATATGGCGAGCGCGCTGGCGTCGACTGGAACAAGCGGTCGGGAGGGTGAATCAGCAGGAGCACAACAATCGGTTGCCAATGTAATCTACGTTCGCCGAAGAAGACGGCCGAGGGATTATCGGACCAGCGACATGTCATCGGACAAGGTTTTTTACTTTGATATTTCCGACGTGAATGTTGAAATACCGTTTTTTTTTTTTTTTTTTTTTTTTGGCGCACGTGTGTCGCTTTTTGAGTTTTTGCACTATACGTCCTTTGCCTCAACTTTTTTTCCGCTTAAACATAACCTGACGCACACAACTTGAATCAGAATGAACAAATGCATGATATGTGTATAGTAGATCCATTTGTCGTTTGAAAGCCGCCGACGTCCCTTTTACCGATGCGCGTTTGTTTACGTTTGCCCCCAAATGGCCCGAATTCGCGTTTAAAAGGCCAAGAACTTTTAATTCAATCGGATACTTTTACAATTACATTTACGTATATTAGTTTACACGTATAAGAGAAATTTTGTAAAATGGTAAGCCCCCCCCCTTTTTCGCGCGTGTGTACATTCAAATCGATTCGTGCTGATTGAATTCTTTTTTCTTTTTTCACCTAATTTTCGATTGATCGTAAAATCGTCACGGTTTTTAATCGAATATATTTTTCATCATACAGTCAAATGACGATAAATGTTGAATGGTGTAGAGTTCACGCATCGATTTGTTCGAGATGAAACATGTAATTTTACTCAATTGTTAAAGGGGGTTTTTTTTTCAAATGGAAAACAGAAAGGTTGTACTTGGACAAAAAAAAATTGTAATCACGTATACCACGGCCAACAGGTTCTGTACAGGCTGGAGCAGCCCCACGGTCCGGGGAGAACGTACATGAGCTGGCGCCCGGGCAACAGCACCCACCTGGCGACCACGGGATGCGACACGACAGTCGCCATAGTCGACCGGCAAGGGGAGCTCCAGGAGCGCATCCAACTGCCCGGTCTGTGCTCGGGTTTCGGCTGGGACGCCGACGGTGACGTGTTGGCCGCGGTGTCGAGCAGCTCCTCGGTCATCGTACTGTGGGACGCCACGACCGGCAAAAGGTCCCAAATCGACGCCGGGGTCAGGGACGGCCTCTGCTGCATGAAGTGGGCCAAGCGTCACAGCGTCCTGGCCGTGGGCACCCACAAGGGCAACCTCGTCATCTACGACCACCGGAACGCAAAGTGAGCACTATACTGTTATTATACTTGGTATCGATTGTCACCGTTGGATTAATTGCCTTTGTTTCCTTTCAGGAGGGTGCCGATTTTGGGAAAGCACAGGAAAAAAATCACCTGCGCCGCTTGGTCGATGGAGGGTCTGTTGGCCCTGTCCGGCGAGGACAGAATACTGAGCGTCAGTACGAGCGACGGGGACACCAGACGGGAAGTGGAACTGCACGGCGACCCCTCCAACATCCAGTTCGGGGAGATGAAGACGGACCAAAGGGCCGGCGGGGAGAACACCGTGAGTTTCACCTTTGACACATCAAACGACAAGGGCAACGCGTGTGCGGACGATTGATATAACGCGAAATTGGATTTTCAGGTGTCGCTGATCGTGGGCAAGTCCACCCTGTACCTCTACAACATCTTGGATCCGGACAATCCGATAGAGCTGACGTTCCAAAAAAGATACGGCCCCATAGTGTCCTACAGATGGTATATATACATATAATGTTCATGTATGTTGAAGGTGTGGGTGAGCGATGACGATTGAATGTGCATGTGGCAGGTACGGGGATGGTTACATTTTGCTGGGTTTCGAAGCCGGCTACATATCGGCCATCTCGACCCACATAAAGGAAGTGGGCCAGGAGTTGTTCCAAGTGAAGAACCACCGGGACTCCCTGAACGACATCGACGTCAACCAAGCGATAGGCAAGGTCGTGACGTGCGGCGACAACAATTTAAAAATACACAATCTGCAAAATTGCGAGGAAACGGAGAAGGTGATAACGGTGAGCGGCGAAACCGGGGTGAGCCTGGTGTCGTGGTCCATGGACGGTTCGATGCTCGCGGCTGTCACTCACAGCGGCAACGTCCTCATATACTTGGCTCGGATCCCAAAGTTGATGAGCGTATGCGGCAACAGGATCGCCGTGCTCGCCAGTTTGACCGAGGTAGCCGTGTACTTGTACACTTTGGACAAGGTACAGCGCGCTTTCCTTTAAACCGCGTGTGGGTGCGTTCATGCTCGGTAGAGCGGCTCGGAGAGTAAAATTGAGGTTTTTCCCAGACGCAGGCGCAACCACAAATAATCAACACCATCATAGAGCCGTCGATCGTTAGCATCGGTCCGTTGCACGTGGCAGTTGCGCTGAACAACAGAGCCCTATTTTGGAACTTGAGCGTCGGGCAAAACACCAGCGCGTCCATGGTACACTTTGAAAGAGATTACTTGGCCTCCGTCGAGTCGATGAACATGAACGAAGTGTACGCTTCGGTGCTCTTTGACGGCAAGCTTCAATTGCATTCGGTAAGTTTTGATATCCATTGTATTGCTCGTGATGTAATTTTCGTGTGGCGTGCGTCAGATCAAAAGTGACAGCAGTCTCATGAGCGCTGGAAAAGACTCGAAAATGTTCCCGGACCACAGTGCCCTGAGCTCAAGGATCACGTGCCACGCCCTGTCTGCCGATTTCTTGGTCTACGGAGACGACGTAAGTGGAACTCTCGCTTCAGCTTGATGATCATTGCCTCTGATGGTGTCCCAATCTATACTTAACACAGCTCGGCGACATCGTGTACTTTCACCTGGAGGAATTCAAGCGAGCCACCAAACTCTCGCACAACAACGGCATCAAGCAATTGTACCTGGACGCCAACGGTTCCCTGCTGAGTTTCATCGACAGCAAGCTCGAAGCCTTCGTGTGGGATCCCATCAACGAGGCGAGCTACTACGCTCCCGACTGTCCCGACTCCGTCCAAGGCATCCTTTGGGACCAGAACCTCGACGAGCGCACGATTTTCGCTGCCTACAACGGCACCACCGTGGCCACGTACGCGTTCATGAGGTACCACGTGAACGGCACTAGGGTGAACAAGATCAGCGAGACCAAGCTACCCTCCGACACGATGCCGGCGCTCATGTACTCGGGCGAGGTGACTTTGACGACGGCGGGCAGCAAATTGATACAGATCACTTTGTCGTCGCACGAGGACATCGGGAACGTCAACGACAAGAAGAAGTTGCGCGAAATTCTCGGGAAACAGATGGCGTGCGAAAGGTATGAATGTAAAATAATTCAACTGTTTTAGTTGAGTTGATCGGAGTAAAAAATTTCAGGCTCCAACAAGCATGGGAGACCTGCCTCAAACTCAACGACGAAAGCGACTGGATAAAACTGGGCGAGGGCGCGCTCATGAATCTGGAACTGGAAACAGGTAAGTAAGCAATCGGTATGAAAAAGTAATTACGATGCAAGTGGTTTGACGAATTGTCCGTTCCACCTGCAGCTATGAAAGCTTACCGACGAATCGAGAACGCCTCGATGGTTTGGGCGATACAAAAGCTGGAGAACGTTTGTGAATTGGCGTTGCTAAATGGTCACGTGTGCACCTTGCTGGGCAAGCACGACGAGGCGGAAAAGTACTTTTTGCAGTCTTCGGAGCCCGTGGAAGCTCTCAACTTGAGGAGGGATCTCATGCAGTGGGTGCAGGCACTGAATTTGGCTCAAACTCTGAAACCCGATGAGATACCGTTCATCGCCAAAGAATACGCTCAACAGCTGGAATTCACGTAGGAATAAAAAAAAGCCCTTCCCGGTTTTTGGGGGCCAAATAACCGTGGGCGTTGATATTGTTTACAGGGGAAACTACCCTAAAGCTCTGAGTAATTACGAGCGTGGACTGTCGGGAACAAGCGATGCCCTACTAAAGCAAAACCCAAACCACAAGATCCAGTGTTTGGCAGGTATAGCGCGCACGTCGATCAGGTGTGGGGACAGTCGCAGAGGCGTCTCCATCGCCATGGAACACGACAGCCCGCGCTACCTGAGAAAAGAGTGCGCCGAGATCTTGGAGAGCATGAAGGTACGTCACTATAAAGTGGCTCTTTTAACGAGACCGGCAACATGATGAAAGTATTGCAGGTTTTTTTTTTTTTTTTTACAGCAATTCAACGAGGCTGCCCAGCTGTACGAGAAGGCAGAGTACTTCGACAAGGCTGCGTCGGCGTACATAAAGTTGAAAAATTGGCAAAAAGTCGGGCAGCTTTTATCACAGACATCCTCGCCAAAGATCAACGTACAATACGCCAAGGCCAAGGAAGCCGAGGGAAAGTACGAAGAGGCGGCCAAAGCATACGAGACTGCCAAGGATTACGACAACATTATTCGCATCAACTTGGAGCACCTCAACAATCCTGGCAAGTTTTTCATTGAAACGTATTTTAAACGTATTCGAGGGACGCGTCGTTATTTTAACACCCGATCTATGCGTTTGACAGCTCGAAGCGTCGAAGTTGTCCAACAGACCAAGAGCATCGAGGGAGCGAAGATGGTGGCTCGATTTTTCCAAAAAATGAACGACTACAATTCCGCCATAAAGTTCTTGATACTGTCCAACTGCCACGACGAAGCCTTCCAGCTTGCGAGTCAGCACAGCAAGATGGAACTGTACGGTGAGATTCTGGCCAACGAGGTGGACGACGCCAACGTGAAAAAGGAGGATTTCCGAAGCCTCGCCATGTACTTTGAGTCCCAGCAAAACAGCCTCTTGGCTGGCAAGTATTACTACTACGCCAAAGAACACCACAAGGTAAACTTGTTGCGCTCGGCTGTGATATTTAACATACATGTGTTATACGTACGATTGAAATATGCTTACTTTGTACGCGGGAAAGGCCTTGAAGTACTTGTTGAAAGCCGCGCAGTTGACGACCGACGACGACGAGGCACTGAACTTGGCTATCGAAACGGTTGCTTCCTCTCGGGATGAGAGATTGGCCCATCAACTGATAGATTTTCTCTTGGGTGGCGACGGCTTGCCAAAGGTTAATTCTTTTATTTTAAATTGGAAGACAGAAAAAAAAAAAAAAACCCAAAAAATACGAGCGATGATTTTCACACAGGATCCAAAGTACCTGTTTCGTTTGTACATGGCTCGCAAGCAGTACCGCGAGGCAGCGAAAACTGCGGTTATCATCGCCAACGAGGAGCAAATCAACGGTAAATAAAATACATACACGTAAATGAGTATTTATCGCAATTAAAACGATTCGTATGCGTTTTCACAGGCAATTACAGAAACGCGCACGACGTTCTGTTTAGCATGTACCAAGAGTTGAAGCGCAACAAGATCAACGCGCCCCTCGAGATGCAAACCAACATGCGGCTCTTGCACTCTTATATACTGGTGCGGCTGCACGTCAAGAGAAACGACCACCTGAAAGGGGCCAGAATGCTGATCAGGGTGGCCAACAATATCTCGAAATTCCCAGCTCGTAGGTGGAATTAATCTAAAAAAAAAAAAAAAAAAAAAAAAAAAAACAATTTAGTTGATCCAACCAAATTTATTGGTTTTGTTTTTTAATATTTTCCAGATGTCGTGCCGATCCTGACATCGGCGGTAATCGAGTGCCATCGCGCGGGTCTCAAGACCGACGCTTTCAATTTCGCCGCGATGCTGATGCGACCAGAGCACAGGAATCACATCGACGCAAAGTACAGCAAGAAAATCGAGGCTATTGTGAGGAAGCCACCGCGTACCAAAGAGAAGGAAGAAGACGAGCCTCTCACGAGCTGTCCCTACTGCAAGAGCCGACTTCCCGAGACGGAGGTCAATTGTGACATGTGCAAAAACACGATTCCCTTTTGCATAGCTACGGTGAGTTGCTTGATATTTTCATGGAAACTGAGAAAAAAAAAACAAAACAATAACCATTGTCAATTGTAGGGCCGGCACATCGTGGAAGATGACTTTACCGCCTGTCCGAAGTGCGACTTTCCAGCCATAAGGAGCGAGTTCTTGAAGTAATTTTACCTTTTTTTTAGTTTGATTTATTGTCAGGTAGTTTAATGGTAATGAAAAAAAAAAAAAAAAAAAAAAAAAAAATCGTGTTGCAGGATCGTCGAGACTGAGGAAACTTGTCCCATATGCTCGGAGCGCGTCGACCCGAAGAGCGTACCCAACAACCTGGACATCCACCCGTACCTCTATTTCCACAGCAACAACGAAACCGTAGATACTTGATAGTTGTTCCTGATGCGTACCGCATGGTATACATATACGACAGCAATCACGAGAAGAGATCGAGGAAGCGGGAAATACTAAAGGATTACTCGATCTCGAGGACCTCCAAACGAGTACCCGTGGAGTGTCAAGTGTGAAGAGCTTTTATTTCTTTTGTTCCATATTTTATGTGCAAGTGTACAACTTGCCAGGTGTGTTTTAATTGTGTCCAAAACTAGAATCAATTAGGATTAATAATTACCAAATGTTTGATCTCAAGAGTCGAAAGGACTGGTGCTTTTTCGCCATCAGCCTGATTGACTTGTGCTGTACAAATAAAAATTGAAACGAAAAATTAAAGGGATATTATAGCCAACATCCACGATAATTGTTTTCACTGTGACGTATGTCATTGATGACGTGGCCCACTCTGTTGTGATTAGAAGAAGCGACCCATGCGTATACGGATGAGAAAGGGTAAAAAGCAAGCAAGCGTCAACGAATCAATAAAATGCCAGCTCTGTATCAATTCGATTGATTCCCCTCCTGAACACACACATTTTCGTGGGATTTCTCTCTCGGCTACACGTAGATACACACAATAACATCCATCAGCAGCAAAACAGCCGATTCGTCGTCGTCGTCGCGCACCGTGACTGTTTCGAGCTCGCGTGAATTAATATTTACGCAGCACCGCTCGACCGGTGAAAATCACCGGCAGCGTCGCAGCGTGACTCTGGCAAAAAGAAGGAAACGTAAGTATATAAGTATGTTGTGTGTGCCCGTGTTGTAAAGAATAAGAGGAAAAAAAAAAAAAAAAAAAAAAAAAAAAAAAAAAAAAAAAAAAAAAAAAAAAAGAAGCTCGTGGCGCACACGCTGATGCAGAGACCGACGTTCGCTCGATTTTCATGCAGGACATCGCGCTCAGTTCGACGGTGACTTTTACGCTAACCGGTGTACCCGTATATCCACAAAGGTGGGCAGTACTTATACATACCTGTCTCTTTGGTACGGTGTGGTGTCGAAGTTTACAAGATCGGTGACCGACCGATTTTTGCCGGATCGTCGTTGTTTTTTTGTTAAGTAAGTTGGTTTTTTGTTCAATGAAGCATCCAACTGTCGACAATGATTGTGCGATGTACTCGAGAATTTATCTATGATGTCGAATGACACCCAGCGCAGTTCAATAATCTATTGTATACCGAATAATTTTAAATCGGTATGGATTAAGTACATGAGCAGTTGTGTGTATAGGATGTATAAAAATAAAAGTTTTGTTGCAGATGCGTGAACAAAGATAAGATAGCGCGATCGAGGCGACGAGTTAAAAATCTCTCTTGGTGAGGAAAAAAAATCGTAGAACTACTAGCAGCCTGATTTTTGATGAATTTTCGCGTTTCGATAGCTTATAAGTACATACGTATAGGTAGGGGGGACGTGTGTGTGTGTGTGTGTGTGTGTTATTACTGGAACGCGTTTTGTGCACAGCTTTGGTGTAACATAATATATATGTAGGTATAAGTGGCACATAAATATGACATGGCCGTTTTTCAGGCTCGTTGAGCAATGCTGGAATTGCGACTGCGGCCGTGTGGCAATTATATTGTACACCGTACTGTGACGCTCAAATGCGCTGAGTTGTGCTTGATAATTGCATTTGGACGGATCGAGCGAGGAATTGAATTTGTCTTGGTCAATTCTGCATGAATTTTCTCCTTTAAAAATTTTAGTACATTTTACTTGTGACGGTGATTTGAATTATTGATTTTTGGAAAGATATTCAGTTTGTTTGGCTTTACCAAATTTCGTTTTTTTTTTTTTTTCTTTTTTTTTTCTTTTTTTTTACATTGATACCATGGTACATCCGAGGTGTCCGCATAGTTTATCAGGATAATAAAATGTAAAACCGTGTCTCAATACTCTTCAGCCAAGCCACTGAGAAGCGGTAAGCTTGTGGAGAAATTTTTGTAGGACTCATTTTTCACGTTGGATTTCTAAAAATACACATGCGTTGTCTTCCGCAGCTTTTGCTAGCAAGTTTTCAAAAATTCGAGTAACACGTACGTCGAGACCTAGAAAAAAAAAGTAATGAAAATAAATTGGAAACGCGCACGTTTCTATCACCCACACCCATTGGCATTTCTAATATTAAAAAAAATATAGTAACTAACGTGAGTCTCAAATTCTGATCTCCTTTAACCACATGATTTAACGTAGATAGCGGCAATACTGTTAAAAAATGATACGCGCAAAAAAAATTGCTTCATACGTATTGTGCATTACGCCTTTAAAAATGAAATAATATACAAACGCGTACCGCAAGAGTTTCAATTTTTCTTCAAGGTTTTCGTTATCTGTCGCCACTTACGATACCAAGCCTGCAGACACTTAATCACCGATAACTATGTACTGCCAAGTCGAAAAAGATGACGACATATTGTGCACGCACGAAAGAGAAAACGATTTTCAACAATGTCGTAGTGAACACCGATGTTTCTTTTTTCTTCGTTCATGAAAAAAAAAAAAATTGTACAGGGATGGGCAGGAAGATGAAGATCAACTCGGCCATCGTTTAGCACGTTTGCAAGTTATTTAACTCAATCCTACGATCGCTAAACTAAACTACATAATATATCTCCGGCCATCGTCATTGCTTGTCTAAATTTAGCAGAGTCGAGAATTAAGAAAAAAAAAAAAAAAAAAAAAAAGAATGTTCTCTTCTTATAAAAAAATAGTTGGAGACAATGCCTTGATTGATTATATTTAACGGTGTATAAGTGTATTTTTTTATATTTTCAGGTGATATAGGGCGACTCTAAAACATAATAAAGGCAGGCGTGTTCTTGTACCTACAAACTGACGGCAAATCGCGCAATCTTATCTTGCTCCGCATTATACTTACTTATTTATTGATCGATGGATTGATTCGGTGGAGGCGCAAAAATCACAACGTTAATGGCGAGACATTGCGAGAGAAACGTATCACTGCGACTCGGTAATGCAAAAAAAAATTATTGTTTTGCACGGACGAGCCTAAAATAATCTGCACTTGCAATGAAACAAGAGAAAAAAAGGTGTCACGAGTCACGATCTCTCCCGGGGACGCGAATGGATAGTGAAAAAAGAAACCGGCTTCTATCGAGAGTAAAGAAAAAAAATTCATTTTTTGTTTCCCATGAAGAAAGTTATTTATAGTAACTACCTGCTTCTTGGAGTTGTCAGACATATATTTAGTTAAAGAGAGAGTTATTTCAATGAGCCTCTTTATGATAATAATCCATTAAATTTCACATGATTAAGAAAATAGTATTTCTTTGCCTACAATAATTGTATTGTAATTTAGATATATTTTGATAGACAAACAATAACTACTGTTTTACACATGTAGAACGAGATACCTACTCATCTCTCAATACTGAACTTATAGAACTAAAATGTATTCCAAGCTAAACAAACCCGTTGTAACAGCTTGCTGAAATATAAAAAAACAAACTGTAATTCACTGTGGTGATTTGGCCTCGACAAATTGTCAATAAGTACTTACTTACTAGGGATACACGTTACTGAAGACAAATTAATGGAAATTAAACTTTTTTGGTTGGGAGCTGTGATGAGTACAGAGGTTGTATTATAGTAATCGCGACTAAGTAGTGCCATGTGGTCGATTTTATTAAACCACATAAGTAGAATATCTATACTTTTGGAGGTCGATTTTCAGGTAAAATATAAATTGTACATTTGCCGCAAATAGCACATAAGATGTCAACTATTTATCGTCTATTTATAAGATTATTTGCGGCTGGTTTATAACTAATAAATTGACTTTACTGTAAATAGCAATAATTATTTGGATCAGCGCCATCTAGCGGTCTTGATTTTTTGGCCAAAAGTGGCCTCTAAAATTCTCAATCAGAGCAATCAGGCTTAGAGCTATTTAGTCAATTATAAACCAGCCGCAACTAATTTTGTGGATAGATAATAAAAAGTTGACGTAGTTTGTGTTGTTTGCGGCAAGTTTACAATTTATCTTTTACCCAAAAATTGACCTCGAAAAGTATAGATATTCTACTTATATGGTTTAATAAAATCGACCATATGGCACTACTTAGTAGTGATTAATGTAATTACTACACGTAACTTCACGTATATCTTACACGCGTGCTCTCTTTACCAAAATGTTAAAATCAGAGGCAGAGGCTGTATTCCAGCCGAAAACGATGTAACATCAGGCTGTATACTTAAGTAGATAAAATAGAAACCGTCTGCTTTGCAACTTGTTGTGTGCGCGCTTTCGTGCACTCGTACGTGTTTTTGTGCACTCATACTTGTTCTTGTGCCTACTTATGCGTTTTTATGCAGATGTCGTGAGTCGTGAGTCGTGAACAAGCTTCCGTAATAATTAACAATAAAAACTTTGCGTTGTGAAAAAAAAGAGTCGGCTCTTCTCTCGTGCCAGTCGTGCCAGTCGTGCCACCGGTGCCACAGTCCTCGCTCAGCATCAGGTTTACTTAGCAGGCCTCGGCTCTTTGGTATCGTTTTCGTCGTTTGTCATTTTCATTTTGTATTGTAAGCACTACTCATAAGAGTTACAAAAATTTTGTATATAATACTGTATTTTATAATTACTGACTCTACACTTATACTTATGTGATTTTTGATATGCATTACTAATTTGGCACCTAGTATATATGCATAGTTTTTGTTTTCTCCGTTTTTCTCCTGGTGTTTGTTGTCCCCCCCCCCCCTAGACCTATATTTTCCAATGGGAATTCTTATAGAAATGTTTTTGTTGCAGCAATAACAATATTTACCTACGTAGCTCAACTCATTCGTCGTCATTCAACCTGCCACGTAAACTATTTCTTCGGATGATAAGTTAACTCTGAAACTGCATCAGGTACATATAGGTTTAGTGTTGACATTAGTGCCCATATTTTATCAAATAGTAATACAAAAACGTTCTAACAATTATGAAGTGTAGAAAAGAGGCGCAGTAAGTAGGCTAGAAACACATTGTGTATAGTCATCGTGTCGCGCTCACCTATCTTTAATATATTCCAGCTCCAACACAAATACCTGTAATATATTTTTTCATACTTCTTTCGCAAACCCAAATACTTAGGTACCTATCTCATTGCTCCAAAAGTTTTTAAATGTCCAAATCGACTAAGCTTCATCATCATTATTTTTCCTACTTATATCTTCAAAAAGTAAAAGCGCGTCCCTTTAAAAAGATACGATATAAAATCGCGCGCGTGGAGTCCCCCCGGTTCGCAACATATACGCATATAAAGTCAACATTAACGCTTATACATATATTATGTGCTGAACACGTACGTGTACAAGATTTATTATACCTATTTGTAATCGTCAGCGGTTTGTTTAACAGGTGTGGTAGCAGAGTCAGCTGCATCAAACTGCGTGTGTACGACGCACGTACGCATGCACGTCTGCCGCCGTCATCGTCGTCCTCGTCATCATCACCAAGAGCAAAAATTTTCTCCAAGAACACAAATATAGCCTCAGTAGCAGTTCAGCAATCATCGTGTAACCTCGTGTTCGTGGAGTTCCTTTCTCTCTCTGCGAAAGGACACTCCCTGTTTACAGTACTTACTACGTAAAATTAAAAGGAAACATGTCTGAGACCAAGGAGCAGCCGGTAGCAGCACCGTCGTACTTGGATCCACTGTACGATTTCGTGGGTGAAATCGTACGCAGCCCTGTGAACCTTGCACTAGTTGGTCTCATTGCTTTACTCGTGTACAAGATATACAAGACCAGGAATCAGCGTTACGAACCGGCACCACCGGTCAAGGAACTACCTAAAATCAGGCGTGATTTCACAGTTGAGGAGCTCAAGCCATACAATGGTACTGGACCAGATGGCAGGATCCTGGTCGCTGTTAATGGCAATGTCTTTGATGTGACCAAGGGTGCTAGGTATTATGGACCTGGTATGTTGCATAGTTATTGCATGTGCAATGATTATTTGATTCAATACTTGTTAAAAAGATATGATGGAGTCTTATAGTTGATATGAAGCAGATTATTGCATAGAATAAATGAGAAATGTCTAAATCAGTGACATCTAAGATAGCTAGAGTGTTGGTTGTTTGGAGATATTATCGGAAAGCAGTTGACAAGTAACTGATAAGATAGTACATTTTTTCAGGTTTTCGCTTGTCTGCATGAATAACTCTTTATTATGTTTGCAAAATATGTATACGGTACTGCAGACGTTGTGCAACAATGAATGAATAATTTATGATGAACTAAATGGGTGGGGAGCTTGTGATTGTTTCTAGAGTTGAATTGGTAGTCTGTAATTTTTCTTACGTCCCGTCACAAGCCTGTTTTTGAAAATGTTTAATAACAGTATATAAAGCACCAGTTTTTAACAGTTTAATCTTCTGACTACTAAATTTTAGGATATGACGAATCAATTCATTGAAACTTAATGGAAATTGAATTATTGATATTCTTGGTTTGCTCTACAGGTGGGCCTTATTCTGCATTTGGAGGGCGGGATGCGAGTCGAGGCTTAGCAACGTTTTCAATTGATCCTGGTAAAGATGCATATGATGATCTCAGTGACTTAAACTCTGATGAAATGAATTCGGTTAGAGAGTGGGAAGAACAATTCAAAGGTAAGCAAGTTTTATTCGTTATGTGCGCATAATTTGCATATACTTTGATTAAATTCTAATTTTACAATAAATTCTTCGACCATATGTATTATGAGCTTGAACTCTTTTTGCGATAATTTTACTCATAAATAATACTATATAATTGAATTTTATTATGTTTACGCTCTAGTGTTTAGAAAAATATTTTGACGAACTAGTGGTTTGATCTGGTTTCATAAAAACGTGATTTTGATTCCTATCATTATTAGATCTAAAAAAATGAGTTTGTCTACTGATTTTAAATTATCTTAAATTGTTTATTATGCATGAGATCAACGTTCAAGGCTGATGTCACAATGTCTCCAACCGGAAAAGTGATTCGCGTCATGTTGAGAAAAATATATGAGTTGTAATTTAACAATTCAACGTTAACACAATAAAAATCTGAAAATTTTTATTTTTATTTCAGAGAGGTACGATTACGTCGGTAAGCTTTTGAAGCCTGGTGAGCCACACACAAATTATGCTGACGAGGAGGAAGAAGATAGCCAGCAGGAAAGTGAATTGAAGACGGATGCAGAAAAGAAAGACGAATGACCATTGCAATGCCGGGCCAAGCTAAAATTTCGAATAATAATAAACGTGGCACGCACATTGTTGTCAAGTGAGGAACAAAAATTTTTCGAAGTATCATCGTCGTGCGTGACAAAAAATTTGTGTATGTTTAGTTGAATGTTTTTGCTACCACATGTACACATAGGCATACATATTTTACACATTAATCGAGTACAAGCGAAAAGTGCAACAAAAAAACAATACGAAGGATTGAAGTCGTTGTAGTTTGTACCAAAAGAAATAGGTCGTTAGTACTAGCTTAATAAGTGGTACAAGCTCGCGACATCATGCAAATAATGTTTTCTTTTTATAATATTCTACATAATTTATACAATAAAATTCCAATCAATTGACAATTCCTTGTACACTACTCTTTCCTCTTTGGCATTTGATTTGTGCTAATCGACTGTTTACCTAGCTTGTGCATTCTCCTTTTTGTTCCTTTTTTTTAAGGAAATATTACTTTCAAAGTTTTTTTAAGAGCAGTAGGCCTTTACAAACATAACACAGGTCAAAAGTATGCATCTGGAGCGTTTTTTTTT